CACCAAGGTGGTCAGGGAGCTGGAGCACACAGTACAAGAGGAGACCCCAAAAGAACTGTGTTTCTTGAAGAAAAGGCCAACAAAGCCAAAGCCAAAGAGGAATCTTATTGTTGTCTTTCCAGTGGAAAGCACAAAGATGGAGGCAGCCTCTTCTCAGAAGTGCACAGTGTTGAACAAGAGGCCACAAGTATGAGTTGCAACACTGAAAATTCCATTTAAACATTTGGAAAATTTTCCTTGCTGTGAGCATGGTCAAGCACTAGAACAGAACCCAGAGACACTGAGAAGGAACCTCCAACCTTGGAGGTCACCAAAACTGTACTGGACAAGGCCCTGAGCAATCTTAGCTGGTCCTGGTTTGAGCAGGGTATTGACCTGGAGACCTCCAGAGCCCCATTCTAACTTGCATGAGTCTGAATCTTTGATTCTAAATATCCAGAAGTTTGATTCCAATATCTGTTGCCAAAATAATTTCACCAAAATCACCCACTTCAGACTCTTCAGTCTGCAAGGAGACATGCCCAGAGTCGCTATCTTTTGCTTCTCCTGAATCCTTCCTTCCTTTACCATGTCGAATACAGAAAGTCTGACAGTGGCTGAAAGAGTGGTATGCCGAGAGGGCAGTGCGGCATGCTGATCTGCGTTATGTGTTTCTTTATGTTGAACTCATCAGCTGTCCATTGGCTTACGGTGGGACTCGGCTCTGCCTGGAGAGGGGTCAACACTCCGCTCTCTGTGTCAGCGGTTCCACTTGCATTGCTCTTCTGGTCTGAGCTAACAGAAGCAACAGATATTTAATAAATAGGAAAAGCAAGATATGCAATCATTTTTGTTATAATAAAGTAATCAGAGTTAGGGTTTGGGAACTATTCAGTTAGGAAACCAGGACTGAATTATTCTTCTATAAATAACTTTCTGTAGTGATAGTGCCATTGCCAAACGCAGAAACACTGGTTATTTTCAGAGTGCCAGGAATCAGCCAATATAGGGCTGATGGTGGATACTCTTTGCTTCTTGTGGTGCTGCAGACCATGCTTCCCAAAACTATCTGTAGGACTTTATATGGTTTGTGGTGTTCTTTCCCTCTCCCTCAACTGCTTCTGCAGATCATCTGAATCTGATTAGTCAGTCATTTATTTGTGTAAGCAACTCTGTGTCCGTGGTGTCCATTAATTTCCTTGCTCTTGAGTCTGCTTGCGTATTAGGTTGTCTGGGTTTCCTTCCAGCCTGTGGTTACTGTAGCTCATTCAGGATTCAACGGGCAGTTATGCATGACTTAACTGCAAATGGGATGCATGTCTTGGACTTCTTCAGCACTTCAAACTACAGTTCAGCATCATTACATGTTGGCAACGTTTGGTGAACACATATTTGCTGTCAGGTGATCTCTCTTCATTACTAAAGGGCAACCACGCAAAAAACATGTTTGTTTATGGGTCTAAAAGTTCTTGCTGTCCATACCTGCTTGGGCATTGCATTGGACATGATGCAAGTAAGTCACTGATAGAGCTACTCCTAATTTTTTTGACCTATGGGAAATGCTAACATTTTGAAAGCAGGTTTTTGGCCATATTGCAAAATGATGTTTTAAGCGGGAAAAAAGGGTAAAAATTTAAAGTGTTATTTTTCAATAAAATCAAGTGGGTTAATTCTAATGCTGACATTTTATTTTTACATTCTAGTTTATGATAAAATACAGTCTTTGGGAATTAAAAACTAATAATTCCATACTGATTTTGTCAAGACAATTTTTTTTCCCCTCACAATGAAATGTCATTGAAGTTGACACCTTCTGCAGTCAAAGTGAAGTTTCAGCACCATGATCTTTATTTGATGGAAATATGTGTTCTGGAATCTTACCGATGAGCCTAGTTGGTGATGTCATTCCTAAAGTCCCTGCTCATTTTTTTTCTTGCGAGTGAAACAGAGCCATTGCCTAACAATTACTTCTTAGCTCACTGGGAAGGTGAAAATGACCCTTTCTCCATCCTACATTGCAATATGGATTGCTTGGGGTTAATACCTTCTAATGGACTGAACACCTAAGATGGACAACTCAACCTGCGGTATTTTGAGCAGTCTCAAATTCTGAAGTGAAAGGAGGGTGGGTGATGCAGGTTTTGCAGTCAGTCTGGTACCACTGGAAAAAAATAAAGCTTGAATTTCCACAGATGGGAATCTGTCTCCCCCATGCTTTTCCTTGCAGAAATTTTTACGTTGTGCACGTTGGACCTATTGTAGAGTGCACCCAATGTAACCATGTGCTCCAGGGAAGTTGTCACCTACCTTTAGTCCTAAAATGAAGTTATTGGGAGTACTAAGTACTTCTGGACCAAATGGCTGGAAAATGTATTTCCCTTTCATTTGGGTTTCCAGTTTCCTGTAATATAGTGTATTTTGTCCTCCGTGCACCAACACCATGTCATTGGCCATGTCTATCAGTGAACCAGCTGCAAACTTGCAATTTGAAGGAGCACCTAGTGGTCATTTGTGAAAGTGTCTGTGTAGTCGACTGTAGAGAGCTCTAACTTGTTGCAATACCCAGTAAGTAAGGTGGGCATGCCAAAGGATGGGAGAGGCACAGAGGGGAGAAGTATCCATCTGGGAAAATAGGGAATTTTTCCTCTCTTCTTCCCACTTCATTCCCTGATTGACTAAAGCAAAGTCTGGTGAGTTTTTGACTGAGATGGTATAATGGATTATTGCTATTGGGTTGTTGCTATTGAAATTATTGCCGCTGGATTATTTGACGAGATGAAAGTGGAGTGATTTTTTGTTCGTTTTGTTGGTTTGTTTTTTTAACAGGATGCATATCGTATATGCATGGCTGTGCTTAGCACTGACCTGGATACGTGGTACTGAACGGTATTTGTGTCCTGCAGAGAATTGTCTTGTACATAGCAGTGTTCTGAGTTGTTTGAAGGAGGGATGAATATGTCCCGGTAAAGATGCATGATAGTTTGTTGTTTTACTGTATCTTGCAGATTCAACCTCTAATGATGAAGCTTCCCACCTAAATTCTTTCTTTTTGGGAGCAGAAAGAAAGGAAGAAAATGAAGAGTCTGAGCTGTTGATACATTGGGATAATCTCTTTCCATTGTATTGAACATTTCTACCTTTCCTTAAGTTTTGTTTCACCAGTTCTGCTTATCATTTTCTCATTGTTGCTGATTCTCTCCCCTCTCCGCTGCCTCTCCCATGGATTTTAATGTTGAATTTTTTTCATTAATGAGTAACTATTTTACACAGAGCAATGTGGGGGTTTTCCTCATAAAATATTTTAAGAAAAAAAACCCCAAACTGTAAATGCTGCATGATTAAAGAATCATAAAACATTAACTAAAAGCCAGGATTGTTGCATAGACATTTGTAATGTACGTGTATGTCTTAAATTTTTGTGTGTCTGTGGGATGTTTGCAATTGCCTCTTTTTTCCGTTTGTGAAAGAAATTCTTCTTGCTGCTAAGTGGTGAAATAAAACATTGGTAAAGGCAGATTTGATGCTAACTACGCCTTCGGTCTCATGAAAATAAGCTATTTTAGAATGTTCCTGTTGGCCTATTTTGTAGCTATTTACTTTACTGGAAGTGGTGTGAATAAGCATGCTGTGGTATAGTGCCTGGGACTATAAAAATGAGTCTTGCAGTAACAGATGTTGATTAATGATGTTATTTGTAATCGTTGTTCCTGCTAGAGGGCAGTGTGTGTAAGAGAGGCCCTGCCCTGTGCTGAGTAAAGATCTGTTCTGTGCAGCTCTTGTGTCCAAGTCTTCATTTATAACATATGCTTCTCCTCTGTTGTCAGGCGGCACATTCTGAGTAGCATGGTCAGGAGGTTCATGTAGTTTAAAAACAAAAAAAAATAAAATTATGTCCCATCTCTAAGCTCGCAATCACAATGCTATGCAACCAATGAACACTTCTTTGACCTTAGGTTTTTTTTTTTCCCAAATGATTTCATTTTTCTGGTCTTGACCCAAAATCCATTGAAATTTGTTGAGGTCTGTTCATTTGAATGGGTTTTGGATCAGGTCTGTAAGTAGATCTCTTTCCCATCCTGTTCCATGTCAGACCAGTATAATTGGCTTCTCTTCGCTACCATCCCTGGGACAAGTGAAACTCGGGGATCCAAGTCCAACTTCAAGAATATTTTGTAGTTCAGTAAGCTGACATCATGGAGCTAATGATGGGGCTGGCATTTCTGCTTACACTGATCGTTTGCAACTACTTGGCATGCATGAATAAAAGCAGAATAGCATTTTCTTTATCACTGATGTCTCAACAAATAAACACCTCCAATATGTTTAAATTTTCCATTTCTTCCTGTCACTTGTGACGTTTCTGTTAATACCTTGGGGTACATAGAAGCACAGGTTTGTGATATTAGACCATTGGGCCACAAAGAATGTTCTTGTGCTTTTGTGGTCAATACCTAAAGAAGAAAGAGCTACCATGATGCTTCTATGCAATAGCACAAGTTCTGCATGCGGTGAGGGTTGGTTTCTTTTTGAGCTCTTGCAAGTTACAGTTCATACACCCTGCAGCACCCTCATGTCCTTGCATCTGAAACACAAGAACTGCTTCCCAGAGTGTGCTTCCCTCGGCGCGATGTTAATCATAACCAGCGTTAATGTTAAAATTTACACAAACATTACATTGATCTTGACCTGTATTTTTTTAGTGAGTGAACTGTGTATTTTTAGTCACTAAATGCATCTACACAGTGAGGATATTATGTAAATGTCATTCTGTCGAGATGAACAGGGAAAACCAGTAAAGGATGGAGTGTGTTATTAAGGAGTTTTCTATATGTACTCCATAAGTAGAAATACGTTGTGATACACAATCCTATTTTTGTTGGAGTATATTGTGAAATGCCCCTTGTCTTAAATGGTGTGGATGAGTAAACTGTAGGATTTTGTTATACTTGATTGCAAGCCTGATGTTTTGATACAATAGACTTCTTTATTCTTTACTCTTTCTCTCTTTCTATAATTTGTAGCCTACATTGAAGATCTCACAAGATGTGTTGAACAAAGCAGAAGACTCATTATCGTGTTAACTCCAGACTATGTTCTCAGGAGAGGATGGAGTATTTTTGAGATGGAAAACAGACTCCATAACATGCTAGTCAGTGGAGAAATCAAAGTTATTTTGATTGAGTGTACTGAATTAAAAGGGAAAGTGAATTATCACGAAGTGGAATCTTTAAAGCAGACCATCAAACTTCTCTCAGTGGTCAAGTGGAAAGGACCAAAAAGCAGCAAACTGAATTCTAAGTTTTGGAAGCGCCTAGTCTTTGAAATGCCAGGGAAGAAAAAGGAGGTGGTGTCTCGGCATCAGGTCCTGGATTCTGCAGAGCAGGGCCTTTTTGGAGACCTCCAGACTGTACCCTCCCTTGCCGTCACAGGCACTTCTGCCACGTTGGTAGAATCGCGGGCTGATTTAACTGATTACCATCAAGCAGACTCTGTGCAAATGAGACATTATTGCAGAGGATATGAATATGATGTGTCAGCAGCAACATTGCCAGTAGCTTCCATAAGCAACCATCACACATACTGTAACATACCTTTGACACTACTAAATGGACAGCTACCTCTTAACAATACCATGAAGGATCCCCAAGAGTTCCACAGGAACAACCCATTGCTACCTTTATCAGCAAAGGAGCTTAGCTTCACCAGTGATATTTGGTAGTGAAGATCAGGACTCTCTTGAGATGCTTCATGACCACCATGAAGACACGTTTTTAAAGAACTTTGCCCTAACCCCATGGGGTGAGAAAACATACTCGAAGCAGCGGCACACTTGTTTGCTTTTCTACTTGAACTTTTTTTGTTTACATTTACAAATTATTGACAAAGGGGGCATTCTTTTGTAACTCAGTAATGTCCTTCCTGTCTTTTAATGTACAGTTTTATTGCTTCTTTAAAAAGGAGGGGGGAGATAGAAAAAAAACCACGTCCCATCATTTTACAGTAGGTTTACAATCTGGGATGCATAAAAGCTCACTGTATATGATCTCCAACATCCATACATATTTAAGTAATAGTATTTGAAATACACAGAAGTTGTTGGGTTTTTCATCTAGACTTCAGTACCATTTGAAATTCTAATCATGCTATGAAAATGATTATCTCCTGCACAGACCACAAGAGGTGAATCATTCTCAAAAGGAAGGAGGAGGAAACCATCCCGGTAACATTGTCTCGCAAATGCATTTTAGAAGATGACCAGCTGAAACAATGCAGACGAAGCTTTATCAATAAAGTGCATAGCGACAGTTGTTGCAGTATAAATCACCTGCTCACAGCAGCATCCCTTCATTTTATTACTGAGGCATGTTGTATTCCAGTCCATGGTTAGCAGTGTGGTTTTATTATAAAACTGACTAGAATATCAGAAGATGTTTAGGAGGGTTTCAAACTGTTTTGCTGTCGATTATAGATTATTTCACAAGTTTTGCAGATTTTTAATGACTTTTTTTAAAGAGTTTAAGTATAAATTTATCTGCCAGGCAATTCATTAATTTGAAGTTTCTTAAGATCTCTTGAGCTCTTTTAAGATTTGTAGTAAAGGCAATGTGTAATTTTACATAGGATTTTTTTTTTTCCCAAAATCGGTAGTTACAATTTGAAATTAACCTTTTTGTGAGAACATCAGCAATAGAAAATAATTACTACAGCAATATCTAGAGATGAAGTGCTAAATTATTCAGGTTTACTACTAGTCTGACTTCAATTGCAGTGATAATCACCAGAGGCAGTTCTCTCTCTGTTGAGCTGCCTGTCAATTTAGGTACCCTTTCAGTATGACTGAAGCGGGAATATTTCTGCTCTCTGTGCAACTAGGGAAAAGCAATATTTTTAAGCAGCTGGTAAGGTCTTGTGAGTGATCCCATCAGTCAAACAGGGCACTGGCATTTATCTTTCGTGGAAAGCGTTCTTGCTGCTTGTGGGTGAGAGGTGTTGTACAGGTACTCAGCATCAGGCATTACTACGCAGAGAGTTGAGTTTTCTTTGGACCAGTATGTTTCGTGGAGATTTCCGTACTCAATTGATTCAGGGTTGCAGAGTCAGACCATGGGGACAACAGTATTCAGGGAAAAAGCTCGAAATAATGAAGGCAGAAGCCAGTTTTGCAGTTTCTGGCACGGCTTTAATGAAAACATAGTAGACACGAGAGTTTTCTCTCAATAAGATCTGCTGGAGCAAGTTCCCAAAAATTTTTTTATGGCAGGCAACCTAGCCTGTATTTCAGTATGTTTTTAGCGTTGTTCTCTTTGATTGCATGAATAAAAGTTAGCACTCCGCACTCAGCCGCCTGTGGTCTCATCAGCAAACAAGTTCAGTAAATCCTTGACATTTTGCAGTGGTTCCTAAATTGTACCCTACAGTCAAATGGAAACAAACACTGACCTAAGACTTAAAAGTATCCAGAATTGGCCCAAAGGCCATGAGAATGATCTCAAATGTGCAATAATTCATAGAGGTCGGTATTTTTCCATTGCTTCTTTCCCCAGTTCTTCATTCTGTGCCCTCTTACACCAGTTATAATCTGTAAGATTTTCATCAGGCTCTAAATAATACATGGTTATGTTGTTTTTTCCAGCATTATTATGCATTTGACACTAACACTGAAAATGGAAATCTAGAAAAGATATTAATTTGTTACACGGTATAGGACTATAACTTGCTCTTTTGTGAAGTTAAGTTCTGAACTTATAGGTGTTTAATATGCGTATTTTTCTACTGAGAAAGAAAGTGATTTTACCTCCATTCTAAATAGATGTATTTCAACCTCCTCCCAGAAATCTACAAAATTTGCACTGTTTTATAAGTGTTGCAGACTGTGTTTACACTGGCTATGTTCTTTAATGCAAAGTGTAATTTAAAAAAAGGAAAAAAAAAAAAAAAAACTAAAAGAAAACCCTGCATGAAAAGAGCTGCGTATGTTTAAATGAAAAGCTGTACTTTTCATTATTTTCCTTTCCACATTACTCTAGAATCTGGCTAATTCACATAGAATGTTCAGTGAGATTTTAAACCTACTAGTTCTGTATTAAGCATGCAAACTCCAAAAAAAAAAAAAAAAAAAAAAAAAAAAAAACCCCAATGCACTTCTTTTATTTACAATGACTGAATATGGGTGGCAAATTCACGTACTGGGTGATAATACGTCTCTTAGAGCAGTAGCTATTCAAAAGCAAAATGCAGTCACGTTTGCATTGAGGTACCATGAAAAGAACAGTTTTTCTGTCATTTTGCAAAAGCACATTGTGTGTCTGTGTATCGATATCTTTTAGTTATAGCTGACAAGTCACAATCTGCTTTAAGATTTCCAAGTGTGTATCGAGTACTACAACAATATATACATGAATTGGAACCGCCTGTACCCCTCTGCTTTTAGTGTGGGGATGGGGACCTGAGCTCAGGAGGCCTCTCATTGATGGAGTTTCATGTAATACCAGCACGACATGCTAGAGGCCAAGTGTTTCCGCAGGTAGCACTTAAGGGTCTGGAAAAATACTGTCAAATGGTGAAATGCATCCATCGGTGGGACTTGGGTGGCACAGAGACCAGGAGCTTGTCCCACTGTGAAAATTGCCTCCGTAGCAACCCTCTGGTGGGGTCCCTGCTGGTGGCCGTGACAGCTGGATCAGGGCCTGTAGCAAAAATGTTCTAGCCCAGTCATGTGAAGTTCACTGGCTGAAATAGAAGGGCATTCTGCGTCCCCCTGTCTCACCAAGCCACGTACTTGCTCAGCGGGATTGATCGGGGCACTACCCTGCCAGCGCGTGGTGCTGCATCTCGCTCGTGCGACCGTGCAGCCCTCGCCATCCCCGGCTTGCCAGGCTGTGCCCTCCCGAGCGACAAAATCAGCAGCCACAAGCATCCTTATTGCAGCCACGTGGGGCTTCTGATACGGGGCACGTTCTTTTTTAAAAATGCTTTATCATAATGTTTAGAAACTTCTACTTGTGTACTTACCTTTGTGCGTGATGTGCTTCAGAAGCAATTATGGTTTGAAGGTTGTATATAAAATGAGCTAGAAATTGGAAACATAGCCAGCCTCTACAGATTTCATGTTCCTCAAGAAAGTTCAGAGAGAAAACGGTAATTTTAAATTAAGTAACAAAGTAGGGCGCATATTGACAGTTCTTGGGGGCTGTGTGCTGGCCCAGTGTTTTCATAATTAATATTCCTGTCTGTAGAGAGCAGATGAGAAACCTGTACAAAGACATTGCCATTCCCTGCCTACAGGTCTGCTCCAAACCCCATTCAAGCCATCAGAAAGAGTTCTCTCAAATTCAGCAGACTTTGGATAAGTCCATAAAACCTCAGGTTTACTGTATACAGAGGAATAAAAAAGACAAAAGAGAGAGAAAGAAGACAAGAGACTAAGAAGCATTTGTTTATTTAATCTGCCTAAAATCAGGTTCATTTTTGTCCCTGTTTGGTGCAGATATGCTCCAGGACTATCCAGCCTTGGGAAAGGAATTTTGTTCATTCTTTGTTATAAACAAGATAAGGACTTGGGAATAAATAACAGAGACTTTTCAAAAAAAAAAAAACCCACATGATTTTTAAGGGCTTCTACTCTGCTCTCAGTAGTTCCTTTGCTTCAACAGGCTTTCTCTGTTCATCCAAATGCATAAGCACATACTTAAATTCCCCTTAATTCAGTGAGAAATACTTTACTGAGCAGGGCCTGGAAGAGTAGTTCAGTGCCAGAAACCGCGGCATTTAACAGCCTTTAGAACTGAGCCCTTACGGAGAGCCTCAGAGCAGCTTTTCCGATTTCGGTCTCTGAATGGATGCGAGTATTACGGCAGAGCAGCTGTCAGGTCGCGCAGTCGTGGTTACAAGAGAGGAAATCTTCAATGCTTGTTAGCTTGGCAGGGACATCTCCCTGGGAAATTCAACGGTAGAGGGGAGAACAATGGCTTTGTTCATTGTGTCCCAGTTGGGCAACTGGGAGCTTACTGGCAGCAGCCATGGGATGGCTTGATTAGAAATACTGCCTGCAAGACACGTCGACCTCCATGCAGCATTTCATGGATCTTCTCTTGTGCACCCTTCTTCTTTTGTGCGCCCTTTGAGGTTTACGCTGGGGCTGCAAAGTTACCAGGACACTAAGAAATAAGTGGAGAGCGTGAAGAAGGGCGAGGAAGAAGAGAGCAGTCAGAGTTCAAGGGTTTCCCAGGCAGACGTGCCGATTCGGATAGCATGATGACAGCTCTTGCATGAATGCATCATCTTTGTCCACTATTCAAGATGCTGGGCAAAGTTCTCCAGAAAAATACAATTTCTTGCCGGCTCACTTGCTTCAGAACCCTTGTCTTGATAATTTTAAAATTAAATTTCAGTTTCCTGTTGGATGGGAAACTTTCTTGAATTCTTACACAAAAGAAAAAAAAATGCTTATTTATGTGTGTGGAAATTCCCCACAAAGTAAAAACTCATGCTTTCTGCTGGTCCTGTGGGTTTGAAACGTGCATGTAACACCAGAAGCGTTACTAGATCACCCCTGGTGAGGTGGGTGAGGTGAGGGTCTCTGCAGTGCAGCGGGTCCCATCGCTGGAGAATCCAACTGGCTCCAGCATTTCAGCAAACCAAACTGCTCGCTTCTGCCATTGCCCGGTTCTCCCGGATGTGCATTTCCAATAAGCGAGGTCCAGAGTCAGGAGGAAAGCG